CCTTCATTTGCATTACCCATTACCAACCTTCTGAAAGCAAAGGGAAATGCCAAGCCTAAACCTAGCCATCCCCTTGAGTGGATGATGGAATGGCAAGCAGTCTTTGAGAAACTCAAGTGTCAGTTTGCAGCCGAACCCATACTTAAGCATCCCAACAAGGATGCCCTGTTTGTTGTCCAGGCTGACACCACTGACTGTAGGCGCCATGCTCTTGTAGGCCAAAGACAAAGGGGCCCTATGCTTATACCTCCAGGAAATTAATGGAAACTGAGAGGAGATGGGCAATTTGGAAGAAGGAAGTGTTTGCGGTCCAATGGGCACTATGAACTTGGAGACATTTCCTTGAAGGGGCAAAGCACCCTTTGAAGTGTGGACTGATCGTAAAAACCTGGAAGCCCTGAAAACTCCCCGAAAATTGTCACTCAAGCAAGTGCATTGGGTGCAATACTTCATTTTAGCTTTACCTTGTACTACAGTACATTCCTGGGGAAATACTTTATGGTGGATTATCCCAGTCATGGTACAGTTAGAGCTGCCCAAAACCCTTCGGCGGATCCACCCAGTATTTCATGTTAGTTGCTCAAACTTGAGCAAGTGTCTTCCATTTGGCCTGTCCAGCCTGCTCCCCCCCAGTTCCCCTTCTCATAGAAGGGGAACAACACTTTGATGTCAAGGAAATCCTAGATTCCAGGAAATACCGGGGAAAACTACAATATTTGGTGGCCTATAAACACTATCTGGTGGCCTATAAACACAAGTTCACTATTAGTGGTACCTAATAGTGAACTTGCATTTTCATGCTTTCAAACTGCTAGGTGGGCAGGAGCTGGGGCAAGAAATTTGAGTGCATCCTGTTGCGCAGCACCCAGATCTTGAGTTTGGGTTGTCAGCTTTCCAGCTGACAAGCTCAGCATCTTTAACTGCTGAACCATCATGCCCCCTTTATCTAAAATTACATAATGGAAATATAAGCATCCCCTTATATCAATTAACTGCTACAGATACTGTCATGTTTCACTATGGAGATAACAATAACTTTATTTCATTCTTTGACAAAGTGACTAAATTAGTGGATCAGTGAAATGCACTGTGCATAATATACTTAAATTTTAATAATGTATTTGACAAAGTAAACCACAATTACTTCTTGGTAAATTAAAAATTGTTGGATAGACAGCATTACCATCAGATGGATTTGTAACTGGCTGAAAAACAGCATTCAATGTGTAGTCCTTAATGGAACTACATCTTCAGGTCAAGTTTTTTTTTTAAAATTTATATATAAACATTTTGAATACAGTGTATTTTCCAGGCATACCATTTTACAAAAGAAAAGAAAAAAGAAACATATATACTAATAACAATAGTAGTAGTACAACAGAATGATTTTAACCATATTTAAAATACTAACCATGTTAGCTTATTTGTAAGCCTATTGATTATATTAACATGCTCAGTTATAAACGATGTTCATGTTTAATTTATACATAGTAATACTATAGAAATAGTGGGGATAATGGACATCCTTGTCTTATGCCTTTTTTAATATAAAATTTTTCTGTCACATCTCCATTCACCATTATTTTAGCTCTCTGGTTTGTGTAAATCGTCTTAATCATACTTATAAATTTTTTGCCAAAGTCCATACATTTTAATTGTTGCATCATAAATTGCCAGTTTACATTATCAAATGCTTTCTGAGCATCTAAAAAGATTAATGCCAGTTGTTTTTCACAATGTACTTCATAGTACTCCAGTGTATCTAAAATTCTCACATTGTTTCTGATTTGCCTTTTAGATAAAAACCCATTTTGGTCAGAATGTATAAACTTGTTCAAAAATCTTTTAAATCTTTCAGCTATTATTGAAGCAAATATTTTATAATCTGCATTTAATAAGGATATAGTTCTTTATTTGTGTTAGGTCTGAATCTTCTTTTGGGATTAAAGTGATATTAGTTCTGTCCATATATGTGGTATCTTGGCTTCTAATAAAACTTCATTATATACCTCTAACATTGACAAGCTCAATGTATCTTGTAGATCTTTATACATTTCTCTTGGTAGACCATCTGGACTTGGTGTTCTATTATTCTTTTGTCTTTTAATCGCCTCTACTAATTCTGCCATTGTTATTCTTTCATTCAACATATTCTTCACCGTTTCCAACACTTTTGGTAGGTTAGCTTTTTCCAAATATTATTTTTTCCTCTGGTACTTTTTCATGGTCATTTAGCTTCTTATAGAACTCCTGAATTATATATATTTTCTTTTCCATTTGATAGTGTAGTATACCTTTCTCATCCTGCAGTTTACTTATCAATTTCTTCTCTTTCTCCTTCAATTTATAGGCTAGCCACCTTCCAGGTTTATTAGCATTTTCAAAAAAAATGTTTTGCTCTTTTTATTTGTTGTGCCAGTTCTTTTTTCATTATATTTAACTTATGCTTAATCATCTCCATTTCATTTTTTAGATTTACCCTTTGTGATTCTTTTTATAACTCTGCTTCAAGTCTTTTATATTCTTCTGAAGTCTTTTGGTATTGTTTCTCTTTCTTATTTTTCTTTGCTATATAGGTTATAGCTAATCTTCTAATATAAGCTTTTGCTGTGTCCCACATGTTCTGTAATGAGGTCTCCTCCTTCCTGTTCTCTTTTTTTAAAATCCCATGTCTCTTTCCATCATCTGTATAAATTCTTTATCTTTTAGTATAGATTGATTTAAAGTCCATCTTACTCTTCTCTTCCAACTAATTTTAACTGGACTACGATCAGCCCACAGATTTGTTTCTATTTCTATCTCTTGTGTTTAGTTCCAAGGTCATCCAAATCATATCTATTCTAGACCAAAATTGATGTGTGTTAGAGTAAAATGTGTATTGGTTTTTCCCTGGGTTGTATAGCTAGTTCTTCTGTCATTTTAAAAAAAGTTCTGGGTAGTCTTTCTTAGTTTTTGGGGGGGTTTTTGCTACTTTTGTAGTCAAGTTTTGTATCAACTATTCCATTAAAATATCCTAAGAGACAAATATTTTCATATTCTGTTTCAAGTAACTTCTTATGAAGTTTTTAATAAAATTCTTCTTGTCCATTGTTAGATAGCAACTAAGAGTATCTGTTTTTGATTTAAGGTCACTTCTACCATCAAAATTTTCCCTTCTTCATCTTTAAAAATTTGACGAGCATTTATTGTTTCTTTGATATATAACACCACTGTTTCTCCCCTCACTTCTTGTTCCTCTTTCAGGTTGAAGTGGCGATCATGAAATTCCATTGTTTGTCCAATGAATCCAATCTATATCTTTTTCATGCCAAGTAACTAGTGTTCCCTCAGGTATCAGCCATCTAAAGTTTACATTGAATTTAATCAACATTGAAGTAAAAAATGATACTGTTTCCAAAGGTCTCTTACTTTCCTAGGGATCTGTTTCAAGACTACCAATTGTTTCCCCTTATGTTGCAATGGTTTGTCTCTTGTCTTGTTGAGTATCTCGTCTGTTATTGATTTTTTCACAAATCTCACATGTACTCCTCTTGGAAGATTATGCCTCCTCACATAATTTGTGTGTATTCTAAAAGTTTCATCTATTTCTGCTTCCATTTCCTGCTTATCCATCCCTAGAACTACATCTTCATAGAGGAAAGTAAGCAGTAGGGTAATCTAAGGTTCTTTTTAGGCCCAGTACATTTCAACATCTTCATAAATGATTCAGTGAGGGGAATTCAGCAAATTTGTAGATGACACTAAACTGACAGAAATAGCCAACAGTCCAGAACACTAGACCCTATCTAACAAAATGAAATTCAATATAGAGAAAAGTAAGGTTTTATACTTAGACAAGAAAAACCAAATGTACAGGTACAGATTAAGTGAAATCTGGCTCAATAGTAGTAACTATGAGAGGGATCTTGAAGTCCCAGTGGATAATCACCAGCAGTTGTGGCAGCAGTCCAAAAAGCCAATGCTAACCCTAACCCTAACCCTTGCATTAACAGAGAGATGGAATCAAGATCATGTGAAGTATTAGTGCTGATTTAGAAGTCCTTGGTAATGTTGCATACAGTTTTGGTCACCTCAATATAAGAAAAAGATGTTGAGATTCTGGAAAGAGTGCAGAAAAAAACAACAAAGATGATTAGAGGGCTGGAGGCTAAAATGTATGAAGAATTGATAGTCTAGTGAAAAGAAGGACTAGAAATGACATGATAGCAGTGTCCCAACATTTGAATGGCTGGCTCAAAAAAGGGAGGGGTCAATATATTTTTCAAAGCAGTAGAAGGCAAAACAAGAAGCAATTGATGGAAACTAAACAAGGAGAGAAGCAACCTAGAACTAAGGACAAAATTTTCCTAACAATGAGAACAATTAAACAGTGGAAATTGTGGGTGCTCAATCACTGGAGGCTTTTAAGAAGAGACTAGACAGCCACTTGTTTGGAAAGGTATAATGTCTCCTGGTGGAGCAGGGTTTTGGACTAGAACAGAGGTCTCCAACCTTGGCAACTTTAAAACTCCCAGAGTTCTGGAAGTTGAAGTTAAATTCTGGAAGTTGAAGTCCACAAGTCTTAAAGTTGCCAAGGTTGGAGACCCCTGGACTAGAAGACCTCCAAGATCTTCTGTTATTCTGTTAATGTGCCATAGATTTAATCAGTTGTTTGCCTCTTAATACTTGTGAATATACACAGTAACAAGTCTGAAAAAATTAGCTGTGTCCAGTTTCAGGGACAGATTGTATGCTGAGGGGTGCAGGCAGTGTGCAAGTTGCCCTTCTCTGATCAAAAGATAATTTTATTTCTTACCTCTCCTTTCACTAATTTTTGCTTTTCTTCTGACACCAATGTGACTAATTAATTAATTAAACATGCCATTTGAAATCCACCTTTCTATTCTGTCTTTCCTGTGTTTTCTGCAGAAGGAAAATGTTTTCTTCCATTTTTTTACATTTCATATTTTTGTCAATTGTAAAAGTTTATAACCCATATGATTACATTTAAATAAACTTACTTGACCAAAATTTACAGCTGCATGTTGTGCTGAACTTGTAAATATTACTACGGTAAGATATTCAGAAAGCTTTTCTCGTGTCTTAATTGTCTTAGGAAATCCTGAAAATCAGAAAAGAGAGGAAGAGAAAATATTTTTAAAATTTGAAGGAAGGCAATAGAATCTTTCCCAAGTTGCTTGAAATGAATTTTCTGTATTCTTCTTGTAAGAGCAAGCCAATGAAATTATTTTATAGGGGTGTGTGAAAATAAACTAATATATTGAAAAAAATTCCAATGTTTATTCCTCTAATTTGTATAGTCAACCACTTCAGAAGCAATTGATTCTGGGCATCCATACAACAAAACTAAAACAATATCTAAAATAATTATCATCAACAAATATTAAGTCATTAAAGAACTACAAAAATAACTAAAGCAAGAACACATGAAGAAATAATAGTAATGGAGCCACTTCATTCATTCACCCATCTCTTGGGGTCCCCAGGCTTGCTGGCATAACTTAGAACTTGGAAGCAATGAAACTATCCTCACCTCAGGGTGGAGCATATTCCATACCACAGGCACCAAAAAAGATCTGCTACCTAGAGCCTATTAAATGTAGCTTCCTAGACAATGGAAGCCATAACATTCCCTTTCTATTAGATTTGGTGTGATGGGTAGATGAAACTGGGGAGAGGCAGTCCATCAATAATCCAATCCTATGCTATGTAGGGTTTTAAAGGTCAACACTAGCACTTGGTTAACTGGACCCTGAAACAAACTGGTAATCAATGCATCTTACCCAGCAGAGGTGTAACATGTGCTCCGAAGTTTCTGAATAGTCTTTAATGGTAGTCCCATGTGGAACAAAGTCCAAATGAGAGGTGACCAGGGCATGAGTGATTATAAACAGGGCCCCTTCATCCAAGAATGGGCATAACTAATGTCCAATAAAAGCCCACTGTCATCTGTTCATTGATCAGGAACTGGTTGTTAAATTATTTGAATCTCACCACTGGATAGTACCACTTTATACTATACTAGTGAGACCCCAAAACCAGTTCTGGTTGTCACAATATAAAAAAGTAGTTGATATCCTCGAAAGAGTGCAGAGAAGAACCGGGGTCTGTAAGTTAAACTGTGTGAGAAGGGTTAAGGAAACTATGCATGTCTACCCTATCAAAAAGAAGGATTAAAGATGACATGAATGCTGCCTTCCTTACTTGAGGGCTATCACAGAGAAGAGGGAAGACTTATTTTCCAAAGTATCTGAAGCCAGGACAAGAAGTAATGGGTGGATGCTTTATAAAGAGAGATCCAACCTAGAACTAAGGAGAAATTTCATGGCAGTGAGAACAATTAATCTGTGGAATGGGTTATCTTCAGTAATTATGGATACTCCATCACTGAGCCTTCTCAAGAAGAGATTGGGCAGTTGGAATTATAAGATCTTCTGATCAAAAAGGAAGTTGGACCAGAAAAGGTTCAAAGTCCCTTCCAACCCTATTATTCCATGTTTTACATTTTAAGTTCTGAATATATTTTATTGCAAGAGAAGAAATGTGTTGATTTATGGGTTAGGAGTCTGGTAGTATATTTTCTAAATAACAGATCTTATTAAAAGGATTGAGCTTTTGTTAGTCAGAAAAGATTCTACTGGTCTCCTAATATAGAAGACAACATTTTTATATCAACCTTTTCTTATTATTTATTTATTAAATTTATATGTCACCCATCTCATGGTCAGGTGACTCTGGGCAACTTATAACATCATAAAATCTAAAAATTGAAATATTAAAACATTGAAACATTAAATATGAAAATTTATACAGATTAAATACCTGAAAAACCAGAATACAATGGGGTGGGGGTGGGATCTTATTCCTGGTCCACTAACCATCTCCAGTATGGATTGCCTCCATGGCATTTGGCAGAGCCAGGTTTTGAGGCTGTTTCTGAAGGCCACAAGGATGATAGCCACAGCAGAAAAAGTCTTTCTTCTGGGCCTTGCCCACCAGAATTCTTTGATCTAAAGGGTTTGCAGTATGCCCCTTATACCAGAACAAGTGGGATGAGTCAATAGCATTGGGCTAAGATATTCCCCATGTAGTCTGGATCAATGTCATAAAAGACTTTAAAGGTGATAACTAATACCTGGAATTGGATTCAGAAGCAAACTGGTAGTTCCCCCATCCAGAACCCCAAAGTCTCTAGCCACCACGAGAAAGCAATAACAGCAACATTTAGGTCACCTGGGATAGAAATATAGTATAAAGCATACTGATGATGCCTCATCCCATGCTGGCAGATGATCTTACCCAGCAGCTTCATCTAGATATTAAAAAGAAGTAGAGAGAGAACTGAACCCTGTGGCACACCACAAGTGTCTATGAGCTGGAACTTTTGATCCCTATTAATCCCAATCAGTCTTGGAGAAGAGCCGAACCAGCACAAAACTGTACCACCCATCAACAGATCCTGCAGCTGCCCCAAAAACATACCATGGTTGATGATATCAAAGGCTACTGATAAATCAAAGTGAGCAAGATGGATGCACTATCCCCACCCTGCTTTCAGCAGAATCATCAACAAGTATGACCAATACTATTTCTGTCCCATAATCAGCCCTGAAACCAGAGTGGAAAGAGTCCAGATAATCTGTTTCATCCAGGACCCACTGAAGCTGCCAAGGGAAGATGGTTAACTGTATGAAAGTTGTCCAAGCGGGTGATCTAATAATATTTTTTTGAGGAGGGGGCAAATAAAAGCCTCTCTAAAAGATCATGGGAACATTCCACCCTGTAGTGATGTATTTATCACTGCCTGAACCCATGTGGAGGTCACTGTAGTGGAGACTTTCACTCATTGTTCCTATTCCACTGTTACCAATGGAATGTTCTTAATATTTTATTTTTTATTTTTTCTCAGGCTTCCATTTTTGTCAGAAAAGGAAGATATTTGTCTGTTTGTTTGAAATGTATTAAAGAAATAAGCTATAGAATTGGTTAAAAAAAGGAAAGTTCTATCACATCAGCTTAAGTGCACTGGAACAAAAACAGAAGTGAACTGCAACAGAAGTTGTACATCACCTGAATCCTTGTTGCCCCTCATCCCATAGACAAAGATGTCCTTCACAAAAGCCTTGAGTTCCAAGTCTTCACACACTGCTTCTTCACTTCCATAATATATGTTAATAATATCTGTCACAAAACTTCAGAAAATATAAAAAAACTTAATGAAAATGTATCCTGTCACTTTAATTTTCAACCCTCCCCAGTTACTAACTTGTAAAAACATGTATGCATACACTTTTGTGAAAAATATTTCTAACACAAGTCTCAACTTTACAAAAAAACACTAACTTCTCAGAAGCAAAATGGAGTAAAGATGATTTGCATGCATACAATTTTATGCATGTGTTTATCAATATAGGTTCACCATGAAATAAAAACATGTACAAAGGCTATCTTGCCATTTTCGATTATCTGTCTCAGAGACAATGTATCTGATTTAACAAACAAATCCATGCTGGTTTGTAGTGATTGCCTTGTTCATTTCTAGGTTTTCACAAAGCTGCTGCTTGCTGTCTTCCAGGTTTTTCCAGGTATTGATATCAAATTAACTGGTCTATACCCAAATGTGCTTTTTTCAAGAGGCAACTGGAGTTTCTGATTTTTCTTTGAAGATGTTTTGCTTCTCATCCAAGAAGCTTCATCAGAAAAAAAAGCACATTTGGGACAACCATGATCTGGATGACTGAGAATCTCCATAGACATTAACTATAGACTATAGTTTCTTGGATCCACTTTTTCCTGCTTCTTAAACACTGGAATCACATCAGCTATTTTCCAGTCCTCTGGCAGTTTCCTTGTACTCCAGGAGCTCTGAAATATTTTTTAAAAGATATTTAAGATATTTTTTAAAGATATTTAAGATTTTTTATTATTTTTTTCCAATCTACATCCATATTGTGTGTGAACAGAGTTGATTCTGGGTATTACTCATATTAATCCAGTTCATCATAACAATATTAGTAATCTCCATCACATTTGTCGAATTTAAGTAATCCTCATTATATTGTTTAAACATACATAAACTAAAAAAGCCTAACTCATCTGTCAGATCTGTGTATCTGCCATTCTCCGATGGAAGAAGGGGGAGGGGGTGGATTTGATACATTTAATTCTTTTCCTCTCTATGTATCCCAAATATCCTATTTCTTACATTGGCTTTGTATAATCTTTTACACGTTTTCAACGCCGTTGCCTGGCGCCCCAGATGTCTGGAAAAATCTCAACTGTTTGAGGGATGTAAGGGGAGAAGGGGCCATGTGGATTGCAGTGCTGGAAGATAACTCCTGGGAACCTTTCCTTATCTGCTTTCTCAGAGACAGTAGGATAATAACATGTTCACACCTGTGGATTGGTGGAATCCACATCAGACTGCGGGGAGGGGTTCTAATTCCCTTTATCTTAGTTGCATGCCCTGAGGGACTCCAGACCCTCCTTTGAATTTTGACCTGCTATTACCCCTCTTCAATAAAAGATTCCTTTTGAAATACAAAGTTTTCAAGAGTTCATACTTAGATTTTGAAAGGGGGGGAAGAGGCTGGTCCTTACATAAAACAGGGTCTGCAATAGTGGTCAATCCGGAGAGATTTTTTTTTCTTCCAAAAATTTTACTCTACCAAGGGGACCCTGAAACAATGTCTGAACATAGCAGCGAGCAAGGGGAAGCTGAGTGCTGGGGAGAAACCTCAACAACTACCCAGCCCGACACCAGCTCTGTACATTCCATCGAAGACATCAAAGCTGTCTTCAAAAGTTCCACAAAGCCCAGATGGTCTATAGGTGTAGGAAAAAGGGACAGCTGGGATGGAAGAGCTAGGGGAGTAAACCTCACCTGTGGTAGCCAAAAACCAGGGTGGAAAATGGAACTGGAAGCCCTTTCCAATCAGGAAGAGCTGATCGAGGAACAGCTGGCAGGTAATCAATTGAAGCGGTACATAAACCGCCTCGTGAGGGAAGCCCTGGAAGACCCCAATGTCCGAGATGAACCAGGTCACCAGTGAAGGAGAGTGAGCGAACCAGCATCCGAGGAACCTGAGCCGTCACCTCTGATCTAGCCGAGACTAATCAAGCAACCGACAAAGCCTGTCAACACGACCAGCAGCCGTGCCAGGTGCCCAACCTCCTATCAGTCCAGAGCAAGGGATTAATCCCGGACAACCCAGAGACCTACAGCTGGAGAAATATCACACCCTGGAGGCAAAATTCGATGGAGACCCCCCCATAAACGTGTTTTTTTCCTGGCATAAGTCCTCACCTATATGCAAGAATAAGGGTGGGACTTCCCAACCAGTACACAAATGCGAGTCATCACCCTAGCCCTAGAAGGGGCAGTGGCCAGATGGACGGTAATCCTCCATAACATTGATGCTCCAGAGCTGCAGAACCTCAATTGATTCATGACAGCCCTACGCCATCGCTTCGAAGACCCCCTCGCCGATCACAAAGCCCGCCATCGCATTAGGTCGTAAAGCAGGGCCTTCGCCTACATCAAGGAATTCCATGACCTGGCTGGCCGAGTTGACTGGCCAGAAGATATTCTAGTCTGATGGTTCAAAGATGGACACAACAATGACCTGTACACTGCCTGCCTGGCCCACAGGGCCCCTAGCCACCTGCATGAATGGTACCTGGTGGCAGAGGATGCGGAGATCGACATGACCCAAAACAAGTACCGCACCAGCAGGGCTTGGAGAAGATCCCCACCCCAGGGGAAGTGGGAACCTTTCAAACCCCAAACCCCCATCGCACCAAGGCCATCTGGCTGCTTTAAGTATGGGAAGGAGGGGCACTGTGCAGAGGAGTGCCATTAGAAAACCCCTGCCAGAAAACCTGATCGCCCAACAGCAGGGGAACCTGGAAAACCCAACCACTGAGGAAAAGAAACCGCACTGAGAAGCCGAGAAGCCGTGGGGTTTCGATCCTCTCCAAACCCAGAGGAAGAAACTCCAGAGCCCCGAGAAGACCTGAGCCAGTCCAAAAGCGATCCGGAAGATGACCTGCTGGTAAGCGACCCAATCAAACTGCCCACTCTACCCCAACACTGTTTATCCCCAGCTGAAGGAAGGGGGAGGAAGTAGCAGCATTACTGGATTTGGGGTGCACCCAGTGCCGAATCAACCCAACCCTAGTAGGGAGATTGAGAATCCACCTAAGGAGAATGAAAAATCCCATCGCTTTCTGCCAATTAGACAGGACTATAGTGAGGATGGGGGAGCAAGCCAGCTTTACCACAGAACCATTACAAATAAAACTGGGTGACCATAGGACTTCTGGTTGGGTGCTGCGTTGATGCGTTGATGCGGAGCTGAGGAGCAGATCGCTGCTCTGAAAGGATCCGATTTTCGCTGTTTGGTGGCTTCCAGAAGTGTGTCGGACCTCGGAGGGGTAGACAGATGAAAGCAGAAGACCTGGAGGTCTCGGGGAGGTGCCGCGAACCTGGAGACTACAAGAGAATCCCCTGAAAACCAACAGCAGAAGAGGGAGATTGTACAGATCAGAACCAAAGACGTGGCAGCCCAGCAGCTTAAAAAAGAAGGAAGGAAGCAAAGAGTGGAGAACAGCAAATTGAGTAGTGAAAAGGTGAAATTAAAGAAGATTTTCAGAATACTGATTTATACTACAAAGGGAAATTGAAAATTGAAATTCCAAACCAAACCGTGTAGCGAAGTGGCAGAAACATGGGAAGGAGTACTAACTAAAGAAATGGCAGTAATTCGTGCTGATGAGTGCTGAAAACTGAGGAGCTGAAGGGTGAGACAACAGCGTTTACTTTTATCTTGGGAGTTGAAAAGTGGGTTGTATAATTATATTTTTTGGTGTTTGACGTTTGAGAACTGTGGGAAGAAAGAGAAAGTGACTGATGGTATCCAATTGAGACAGAGAGATCGGAAGAACAGCTCAGAGTAATAACTTGAAAGGAGAACAATTGACACTGAAAGATTTAAGGAAAGGACTGAGGAAAGAAACTTTATAATTGCAATATTTGTCTGATAGCTGTGATAACGAAAAAAGGAAGAAATAAGATAACTAAGATTTATAAGTGAAACCGGGACCGTGTGGAGAAAAAGAATAAAGGAATAAAAGAATAAGAAGCCAAAACAGAAAGGAGAAACGAAACGGTGGAAGTGACTATGCAAATTTAAAGAGGACATTTTGAACTTGAACTAAGAACTGTAATAAGGTATTTATCCAAAAAAAAAAAAAAGAAGAAGAAGAAGAAGAAGACCACGGACACCACTCAACTGGTCAAACATAGATGTAACTAAATAGTATTGGTAAAACATAATCTTAATAGATATGTATGCGTTAGAATATTGAGCTAAGAATACTGGTTAATAATTTTTGAATAACTGAACAATTGAAAGTGTGTTGTATAAATATAGAATTCAGACCTCTAAATAATAATCATATAGTAAGAAACTTAAATATTTTTATTCTGAGATAAGCATATAATTAAGAACTCTAAAGAAATAGATTAATTGATATTTATATATAGATAAGAATTTAATTACTTTAATGAATTGGCTGCTTTAAATTAATTAATTAAGTGTATAAGACTGTTGATTCTGTGAGTAAATATATTTGTATTTGTTTAATATTGAATTCTCTTAAGCATTGTAATAGTTGAATAAGTTCAATAAGTAAAAATAGAAATAAGAGCTGATTGTGAATTTCCATAATAGAATTTTGGTAATTAATAATTTAATAATATATGTATTAATATTATTATTGAACTGAAAAGGAGAGGAAAATAGTACTCTACTAGGGATAGTTGATGGTAGGTTGGAAAGAGCTGCTACAGATAGTTAAAATGGCGACAACATCAATTACAAATGTAAAATCAGGAAAGAAAACTACAACAATGATGTCTTCACCTATGGGGCAGAGATCTATAGATGCAATGCTATTGGCAGAAAAAACTAGTTCAGCTCAAAGCCTGCAGACAGTACAGGCAACGCTCACTATGATGGAGGAAATGATAGCAAAAACCCACAAATTGATAGCGAGGAACCATGAAGACATGAAAACAGAGATGAGGACTGAAATAGGAGAAGTGAAAAATGAAATACAAAATTTGAATAGTAAGATTGGAAAGATGCAGGAAGAAGTGATAAAAAATGAATAGAAATTAAATTTAGTA